TATCAATGAACCTAGAACATTGATTGCACCTTAATTTTCAGATTATGTCTGTATCATTTTAGTAAAACACCTTAAACGAATTTATAAGATTTGACTTTGAATTAAAAAGGAATAAATTTCCCTTCAATAAATTTATAGTTTATCTGAATTGTAGTTGTCGATTCGTCAGAATTTTATTTTTTTATGTATGTATGTAACTTTGGACCACATGAACCGTTTTTGACAATTCTTTTTTATCGGAAAGGTTTTACCACAAGGGGGTCCTAAACTAATTTCAGATTCAAAGAATTATTTGAGCATTGTAGTCGGTTTTTTTTTTTGCTTAAGAATTACTTCAATTACGCGCATAGATATGTATTAAAGGAGCATCTTAAACTACACCTAAAACCAGTATATCGTGGAAATATTATTTTGGAACCCTGCCCAACTTCTCAACCAACTTCAAGCTATTCCGCTCTAATTCCGAATAATACAGCCAGGAGGAATGCAAATTTTCTTGGAATTCTGGAGGAAACGCGTCTTTTAGCATAAAAGAAGAACGTTATTAATTTTAATAAAGAGCTACTTATTAAGTGCTTAGTTTTGTGCTGTCATTGTTATAATAAATAGTAAATTTAAAACCTTTTTATTCGGACACAATTTTCTTTCTTCTCATTTGGTTAAGATATTTTGATCAATGCTATTTTGGCCTGATCCACCTTGTTCATAACGAATTCTTCTACTCCAATTTGTGATTTGAGTATTGATATTTAAACAAAAAATGTAATGAAGAAACTTTTTCATGGCAGAAATACACTGCGAGGTTTGGCATTGTTTGCTGGATGACGACCGCTAATAGCAACAACTTTTTCTTTGTTTTCGGAATAGAGCCTAGATTCGACTAACTCTAACCACTCTTCCACGGGGCTAATTTACTTAACAAGAAAGAAAGCCTAATTGAGATAATCCTGTTGATGGATAAAACTCTTTTATGTTGTCTGTCTTCAGGTCCCGCTCTTACAAATATTTACTCTCGAGCTCTTCCTACTATCTAGTACACCAATTTCAGACGTGACATGGAGCAACGGAAGCGTTCACTTACCACCAATTAACGCCACCACCATCAGCCAAAAGAATTGGCAGTGCGCCGCCATGCTGCTAATCCTTTACGCTTAGCCAAATCAAAAACTTTTGCGAAGAAAACTCAAATAGCTTTACCAAGTACACTTTAATGCAGTGGTGTCAGCGATGTTAAAACATTGTCAGATTTGTCGGTGACACCTTGAATTCTATAAAATTTTTAAAATGAAAATAGCACACATAAAATATATATTCTTTTAATCCGCAAGTTCTAAAAATAGCTGTTGCTTTAATGTGGAATTATTTGAACACTTTCACAATATGCAGAATAAAAATATGTATGGAAATAAACGGAAGTTGGATTTTTTTTTTGTATCCAATTTATTAGCCACGGTATTTCCACATTGCATACACTCTTTCACACAAATGTATGCTCAACACTTTAGCAGGATATGCAAAGCGTTTCTTTTTATTTAGCCACAATATTTTACTTACGCACAACTTAACTTAACCACGGCCGAGAAAAGACTAAAGATTTGCTCGCCACACTATTTTCCACAAATGCCGCCGCCACTTCTGTCAGATATCATTTTTTATATATACTTACGTATATGTATGTATGTATGTATGTGTTTATGTCGGTGAATATACGGAAAGATATACATAAGTGCTCGCCTGATCGGCAGCCTGCTGCGGCCTCAAAAGCCAAACAACAAGGAAACATTGTCTCCAAAAATCATAAAATGGTTCATAAAATGGATTTTCTCTCAGGGGCCCGCTGCCTTGACTCTCCGCTATTTCACAGCTTCCACGCAACAGCAACAACATTGCCAGCAACACGCCCTGAATTGGCCCACTGGCATGGCGTGCGTGTGTGTATGGATGTATGGATGAGAATTTACCGGCGATCGCGCCAAAGATCTCCAAGCTGTTTCGCTATTTATGCGACAAAAACTATTATTAGCACATGTGTACATATAGACAGGCAGTGTGTGCGAAGCATTCGGAAAATATGAGTGAATATAAAAAAGTCATTAAACATAAAAAAAAAAATAATATAAAGGAAATGGTTCATTCGCCACGATCAGCGTTTGTCATTTGGCTTGCAGGCTGCTTGCTGTCATATGCTTTCTGTTGAACTAAAGACTGGTTTTCACTATGTCATATATTGACACCAAAATTTGGCGACATATTTTGACACAACTTTATCTCCTCTATCCATACCTTTGCCAATGATATTATGGGCCAACAACTGACGGATAGCCGATTTCGAAGTGCATGTACACGACTAAAGACCTATCCTGATCCAATTCAATCGATAAACCGCTTTTTGATCTCTTTTGACAATGTGTTTTCACTTATTTGACGACAAATGCCACTGAATTTGACATAGTGAAAACCAGCCTTAACTCTTCGTTAATCGAATGTGTAGTGACAACGCCCTGTAATGTTTGAAGTAATTCAAATAAATCTTGTGTGAAAATGTTTGCCATTTGAAAATGGAGTAATTCTTTGTCGGCAAAGAATAAAATCTAAACTAAAACTTTTAAATGCAAAGTAGTTGCCCGATATTTCGGAGTTTAGCTTTTATTTTATTATTTATGCATACAATTTGATGTACTTTCCACTTTGTACAATTATTCGGTAGTGAAAGTGTTACATCGAATACTTTATTTGATGCTTCACGTAAAAAAGGGTGGAAAACAGCAAAACCTAACTTCAAGAATTAAAAGATGTTGATCAAAAGGCTTTTGAAACACTAGGTCGTGGCAAAGAGAACTTATATGTACGCTGACCATATTTGTGAGAGTCGAATACGGGACAAAAATTAATTTTGCAAATTTTTTCCACAACAGCTTACAGATCTTAAAGCATTCCTGAATGATCTTAGATGTACAAGCCCTTAAAGAGTATCCCTGTAGTAAAATCGCAAATTTGCAGGATAATTTTCTCAAGATTTTAACCCCGTACAAAAAAAAAAAAAACTCATTAAATTTTAGTATAGTATAGTGCTATTTTAAGTC